AAAAAAAAAAAAAAAAGAAAAAGAAAACGTGTGAGTTTGGCTTAACCCTGCATCTCCCAAACCAGCCTGACTCCCAAAGCCCTTTTCATATAATTCCTATTACCTACTGTCTAGAGAGCTGGTGTTCCATGAAATCAGATCTAACTGGCCGCTGCCCATCTCTCAGGACGGTCCCAGGAGAAGATGGACACTACTCCACTCCTTCCTGTACTGGAGGGTGATCCTCAAATTCCCATGCCTGAGCACTGACCCCTCCCGCCTCCACAGGGGTTGCCACTTTCTCTTCCTTGAGTTTGACTCTGCTCTTTTTTGGTGGCTCCAATTTTTCTGGGTCTTTTTTGAAACACAGAGAACCGAAGTGCATGTCACTCTGATGGTGCAAGTGCCACAAACGTTCACAGTGGGCCAGCTTGTGGCTGACCCTGAGCCCCATTCTACTTCCTGCATTCCAGCCACAGCTCAGAATCCACTGGTGCATGGCTGGTGGGATCACGTGATCCCCAGGTGGCGTCCCGCGGTGTCTCCTCCCTCCTCTGCAGAAACCTGTCCGGGTGGACTTGAACTTGCCCATCTAACTACAGCCTGCTCTTAAAAGCTCAGGTCCCTGATTTGTCAAGGTCACTTGAAATTCAGTGTCACCATGCCAGCTGCTGGGGAGGACGGTTGCTCATTTAATGAAAGACAAAGAGAGAACAGCTTGAATGGTCCAGAGGGAGTCTGGCAGCAGGGAGGGAAGCCGGAGCCCCGGATGCATGCAGAGCCTGTTACCTGCAGCACCTGGCGGAGCAGGGCGCCCCACGGGATCTGGAGGAGCAGGGCAGCAGGTACTATCACTATTGGAAACATCAGGGCGGGGTCCATGATGCGCCATCCTGTGATAAATACGACGGCATAAAGCCTCGAGAACAAAAGCCCAGGGATGACAGCTGAGGGTGTGTCCCAGCAAGGTGACTATATTCACGCCCTACTTCTAGTGCCCATGTCTCTTTCTAACCCTGCGGTTCTTTCTGCTCCATGGGAGAACCGCAGGGTTAACAAGGGACATGGGCACTAGAAGTAGGGTGTGAATGCAGAACCCCTACTTTCTGCTCAGAACCCTTGCTGGGTGGGGGAAAGCCAAGTCAGAAGGCAAAGCTACAGCGAGTTGGTGGGATCATCAAGACGCAAAGGCCCCTGAAGAGGAAAATGTCGCAGAGTGGCCACCAGGCAGACACGGGGTGGGGAACGGCAGGAAGAACCCCAGTCTGGAGAGTGCAGACCCAGGGGTGTCGCTAGGTTCTGGTCTTGGCTTGGCCACCAGCCTCCTGAATGGCCCATTCATGGTCTCTGTTTCTGAATGACTCTTTCGAGGCTCAGGGTGCTAACACTGCATGGTCTGAGGTTTCAGCTTCCTGGGGCTAAATGCAGGCAGGGGGTCAGCAGTCTAAAACCTGGGGCCTGTGGCAGGCAGTGCAGCTCCAACCTGCTGCTTTGCTCCTCACATGGGTCTAGAGAGCACAGGTGACATGAGCCCTCACCCGGTGGCACTAGCCCCTCAATGCTTCCCACTCTCAAGGTCTCTGACAGGCCAGAAAAGGAAGAGTGGGTCACCTCTAGCCGCGTCTCCAGTGCCAGGTACAAAGTCAGCCTCAGGACTCTTGTGGTGAGAGCTGTTAACGGGCAGAACTACAGACACTCCTCACTGCAGACAGACGGGGCAAAGAGTGTCCCCGGAACCCGGCCAACCCCCAGAATCAGGCCCTCTCCCCTGGGGAGGCAGGACATCCTGTCAGCTGCTCCTCCTGTTAACAGCATCCCCAGCATGGGGCTGATGCAGCAAACCCAACAGAATCTGGAAACAGCTGGGGTTCACGACCAGATCTTGACGTGGCGCACTCTGTTCTCCCGGGGAGGTGGAGGGTACAGGTGGGAGTCGGCGCACCTGGCTGAACGGCGTCAAGGCATTACCTCAGAGATTTCTGCAAACTGAGCATTGGCCTGACAGCACTTCTCGGCCATTTCCATGGCAACTCCGTAGTTGTCCACAAAGGCCCGGTACACACCCAGCTGGCTGGCCTGCAGGGAGGAAGGAAGAGAGAGTCGACAGGTGCTGCAGCTCCCCCGCTTTTCCGAGGAGCGGGCTCCCTGCAACAGCTCATCAGGAACTCCAGGGGCCTCGGCTCCTCCGTGCTGCTCCCTCCCACCTGCTCCCCTCCCCACACACCCAGCACACTTCCCGCTCCCAAAATGACATGCTGAGAAGTGACTCACGACGCCAGGCAGGTAACAGTTCCCTTCCAGAGCTACTTATTCCTCCCACCCGACTCGCTGAAACGGTGCCACGAGCGGCAGCTAAAGTTCGAGGTTGTCAGTGAATCTGGACAAGTGTCTGCACGCAGCATCTTCTCATTCTGGCTGCAGGAGTGTATCCTGGACACGGAGGTCACCCCCCCATCCCACCCACAGTGTCCACTCCTGTTCAGTTCCTTCAGGCACATAAGACACAGAGTCCAGCTGCCTCTGCAGAAGAGAGCCTCCCGCTGCACAGGCACGAGCCCATCCCGGGCCTGGTAAGGGTGCCCCAGTGTCATGCTGCACACCTGGCAGGGGGGAGACTGACTGGCTGTAAGGTGAGAGCTGTTTTGTTTGTTCTCTATTAAACCAAAGGCTGTAACAGATCTCCTTACTGCACCCCTCCAGCTCAGACACACACTCGATTCGGCAACAACTTCCCGTGTGTGAATGCAGCAGACACAGCCATCTCTGGGCCTCACAACAGCATTAGGGGCAGCGAGGGAAAACCAGCAAACCCAGGCCTGGGGAGTGGAAGGGCAGACCCAAGAGACGCACTGGTCAGGGCTGGAGACTCCCCCTGCAGCTGACTGCAAACTGGGAGCCCAAGGCATTCACGGCTCCTGGCGTTTGTTTTGCGTCAAACCTAATTTTATTTCCACGTGCATTTGCATTTATATTGAATTTTATGTTTCCACAGAAGACAATTCCGGATGCTGGATAAACCAGGCACCCTTGGTATTATCTGATCTTCTGGCCCTGCTCCCAACAGGGGCTGTGCAAAGGGTCTTAGAGTGTACAAGGAAAGAGTAGCAGCCAGAGGACACCCAGCAGGCCCTGCCACACTGAGGAGACCTGGTATCCTCCAATTCTAGGTTCTTCCTTGTCAGTGCAGTGATGAGGCCCAGAGCTCTTCCTTTCCCTCCTCCCTCCTCTGCAAGTCACTAAGTATCTCCCCACAAACTAAGGGCCTGCTTTAGGCCTTGTCACCACAGTGGTGAATAATTCAGACGAGGCGCTGCCCCTCTGAAGCTGGTGTTCTAACAGGAGAGCACCTGATAAACACATGTGTGAACACACACAGGTAGTGTGATGGCAGATGGTTACAATCGGGATGGGGACCGAGAGCAATGGGGGCTGCTTTGGAGAATGTGGTCAGGGCCAGGACAGCCTCTCAGAAGAGGTGACAGCTGGGCAGGGTCTCAGAGGTCTTGGGAGGAGGACTCCTTTCAGGACTTCTCCTCCCTCCTGCTCCAGGACCTCACATCTTCCAGGTGGCTTGTGAGAAGTTCTAAGCAATTCCTTTCCACATTTTTCACTAATCAAGAACACACCTCCGGATCTGATGCACTGAGAAGCGCACAGCCTCACTGCTGTGGTGCTATGGCACAGAACATGAAGCTATTCCTGAGGAAACTGGCGAACCTAAGCGGGCCTGTGCCCTTCAAAAAATGTCAATGTCAGGTGAGCACAGCAGCTCACGCCTGTATAATCCCAGCACTTTGGGGGACGCTGAGGCAGGCAGATCACTTGAAGTCAGGAGTTTGAGACCAGCCTGGCCAACATAGTGAAACCTCGTCTCTACTGAAAATACAAAAGTTAGCCAGGTGTGTAGGCGTGCACCTGTAATCCCAGCTATGTGGGAGGCTGAGGCAGGAGAACTGCTTGAATCCAGAAGGCAGAGGCTGCAGTGAACCGAGATCACGCCACTGCACTCCAGCCTGGGTGATAGAGCGAGACTCCGCCTCCAAAAAAAAAAAACAAAGTCAAGGTCACGGAAGTCTAAGGAACTGGTGCAGATTGAAGGAGACTAAAGAGAGGTGACAACCAAGTTTGTAACGTGATCTTAAACCGGGACCTGAATCAGAGAATGAAAACAGCCGTGAAGAATGCGACTGTTAATTTGGAGGAAATGTATATGAACTATATATTAAATAATAGTAGCTCATCAGTGTGAAATTTCCTAAATTTAACAAATTGTACTGTGGGTTACAGAAGAGAATGTCCTTGTTCACAGCAAATACACAATGAAGTAGTCAGAAGGGAAAAAAATCCTGTGCTTGTGTGTATGGGTGCATGTGTGTTTGTGTGTGCACAAAAAGACATAAAGCAAATGTGGCAAAAAGTTACAATCAGTGTATCTGGGTGAAGCCTACACTTTGCCCCGTTCTTATAGCTCTCCTGTAAGTCTGAAATAATTAGAAAAATTAAAATTCTGAGTTGAACTCTGTTGCCCAGGCTGGCATGCAGTGGCATGATCTTGGCTCATGGCAACCTCCGCCTCCTGGGTTCAAGCAATTCTCCTGCCTCAGCCTCCCAAGTATCTGGGACTAGCCACCACGCCTAATTTTTGTGTTAGTAGAGACGGAGCTTCACCACGTTAGCCAGGCTGGTCTCAAGCTCCTGACCTCAGGTGATCCACCTGCCTCACCTCCCAAAGTGCTAGGATTACAGGCGTGAGCCTCTGCGCCCGGCCCTTTAGCTTTTTATAGTTCTGTCTAAATATTGACCATGGAAATTGTTCTCTGTTTTGTGTCTGAGCCTGCTTTCTTTTGTCTTTAAAGCCTGATTTAAGTTCTTCTGAACTCTAGAAATAGTTATGTGGTCACTTCAGCATAAAGCAGTGTGTTTATTAACCATCCATTAAGCAAAAACTAGAGAAGTTTGATTTAAAAATGTCACTCTGCCTCCTTTCCTACTTTTAGTAAATATGAGATATGGCATAGTTAATTCTCTGTTTTATCTTAGTTTTATGCATAATGTACCCTCAGATAGAACTTTATGGTTCTAGTACAGATACTCCACACTCAGCCTCTTGATGTGTCAAATTTTTGTTCAGGCAATGAGAAATTGCTCATGTTCTTCATCTTCTCAAATCATCAGAGACTAAAGAAAAACACTTTGTGTCTATAACTTGACACAATCAATAGAATGAAGAAAATCAGGCCAGTTATGTGATGATTTCAGCTCTTAACTGTCCCCTTCCGGCTGCCCCTGAGTCTGAATCTCCCAAAGAGAGCAACCAATTTCCAAAGGGCACTGGATTGCAGAAGACTGGGGGACATTTGCTCCAAGATCTTAAATGTTATATTGATAACCATGCTCAGCAATGAGTGATTAGATTCATATCTCCATAATTTCAATTTGTGACTTTTTAAAGACCTGTCTACATTGTTACCTGTGTGAGACTCGAGTGATGTTATCAGTGTTTTCGTAAATATTTACTATGTTTTTCTATTAGCTAAATTCCAACAATTTTATACTTCAACAAAATGTTCCAAACATTGCAAGAAAAAAAAAAAAAAAATTCAGAGTTGATAAAACTGCAGCCAGAAAGAAAACCCGGAGTGGGGAAGTCAGCCCGTGCAGCCCCACAGGAGGAGGCGGCAGAAGCCGAATCTGGGTCTGGCTTTCTGAACCACTGGATGTGGATCATGAGTTCTTGGGCTTGGAGGCGCCACCGGAGCTGGGCAGGGCACTGTGAGCTCCTTTGGCCCTAAGACTTGTCCAACCAGGAAGCCTCACGGAGCAGTGCTGGGCCAACCCGACTGAGCTGCTCTGCAGGGACAAGGGCAGGCACCCGGCTTATCTGTTCTTGCAGAGGCCCCAACACCCAGCCCAGGTTGGGGACACGTAAGTACCCAGCTGTGGTTACGGGGAACAAGTTCCCACTGCAGCCCCAGCCTCTCCTCTGAGTCTTCCAGCTGCGTCATCTGACTCATGAAGGCTACGTAGCTCAAGGTCTTCAGGGAAGCCAGCAGAAACTTTCCAAAGTTAAATTCCAGTGTTCATCAGATATTAACATTTTTTAAAAGTCTCTGAACAATTTCGAATATTATTTAGGAAGAGCTCTGGATGTTTTTCTTCCCCCAACACCAGGATTCTTCCTTTCTCAGAAGGGTGGCAGGCCAAGTTATGTCCACCACTTTTAAAACTGCTGACACACACAGGGAGAAATGGGGGGCTTCAAAGATGGAGGGGGCAGCATGCATCAAAATACAGCCTCCTGCTCTCTGCCCATAGGGGAAACAGCCCCAAGAGGCAAGAACTGGAACAAAGTAAGTGCCTTGTGTGTTTCTCAAGTCGTAGCTCTGGCCTGGAGTCCGGGGGGGTCTGCAGCACAAGGTGGCAGAGGGAGAGGTCTGCCTACAGGAAAGCCACACCTCAGAGCAGAAAACTCAGTCCCCAGCACCAGCCATGGAGAAGCCTGAGGCCACAGCTGAGTGTCAGGGTAGTCCAGGAGTGCTGGGGACAGGGCTTTTAAGGAATCACATGCTCTTCACACTTAGAGGGGACCTGGCCTCAGCCCACACCTGCCCCCAGAGGACTAGTTTCCCTGTGGAGGAAGCCTGCTTCAGGTAAAGTGTGTGCACACAGGGTGTGGTGGTGTGTCTACCTGTGGTCCCAGCTACACTGAAGGCTGAGGCTGGAGGATGGCTTCAGCCAGGAGTTCTGGGCCGTAGTACACTATGCACTAAGTTTGGCATCAATATGGTGACCTCCCAGGAGTTGGGAACCACCAGTTTGCCTAAGAGGTGAAACAGCCAAGAATGGAAACAAAGGAGGTCAAAACTCCTGTGCTGATTAGCAGTGGAATCGTGCCTGTGAATAGCCACTGCACTCCAGCGTGGACAACACAATGAGTCCCCGTCTCTTTTTATAAGTACCTACATAAGGCTGGGCATAGTGGCTCACCTCTGTAATCCCAGCACTTTGGGATGCTGAGGCGGGCAGATCACGAGGTCAGGAGTTAGAGACCAGCCTGGACAACATGGTGAAACCCCATCTCTACTACAAAATACAAAAATTAGCTGGGTGTGTTGGCACTCGCCTGTAATCCTAGCTACTCAGGAGGCTGAGGCAGGAGAATTGCTTGAACCCAGGAGGTGGAGGTTGCAGTGAGCCGAGATTGTGCCACTACACTCCAGCCTGGGCGACAGAGGGAGATTCTGTCTCAAAAAAAACAACAACAAAAACAAACAAACAAACAAAAACAAAACCTATATAAATAAATTTTTTTTTTAAAAGGCTGGGCAAGGTGGCTCACACCTGTAATCCCAGCACTTTGGAAGGCTAAGGTGGGTGGATCACTTGAGACTGGGAGTTCGAGACCAGCCTGGCCAACACGGCAAAACCCTCTCTAGTAAAAATACAAAAAATTAGCTGGGTGTGGTGGTACATGCCTGTAGTGCCAGCACCGGCTCTGGATCACTCACCAGCTTCTGGAAGAGGTCGCCCACCCGCTGCTGGTGGCTCCACTGCTGCACGCGGGGAAAGAGCCCATCATAGAACTCCTTGTGGATCTCGTAGAGCTCAGGCACTTTGAAGAAGATGGTCTCGATCTGCTGACTCGTCAGCACCGGCTGAGAGGTGGTGGCAGCAGCTTTCAAAGGCTTCATGGGCTGGAAGAGGGCACAGGTGAGAGGGGTTGCCACCTGTCAGGTGCACGGCATGACAGTGGACAGTCACGGTTACTTGACATATGCACTTTTATTTTTAAATCACATAACAAATACAATTTTAAAACCAGCTTTGTTTGGCAACTCAGTCTTCCACTGGTATCCACTCCAGGGACAGCGAGCTGCACCCAGGCTCTGACAGCTGACCTGGGACTTATGGGCAAAGAGGCTCCCCAACTCTGTCACCCTGCTCCGCCCCACCCTGCTCAGCTTCCTGCGCCCTCCTCACCAGCAGCAGTGCCTCCAGGTGGCTCAGGTAGGTCTCCTCGCTGGCCAGGATTCCAGACAGGACCCATTTTCTCATCTCCAAGCCCTTTTCCAAGTCCAGCTCACTCTGCAGGAGAAACAGACAGAAGTCAGACTGGAAGGGTGATGCTGGCATCAGGGTCTTCTGAGAGAGGAGGGCCAGCTTGTTGACATCTGGACAAACCCCTGCCCCCATGAAGGCTCCACATGGAATTAAGGGAGGCAGGGGACCCTCAACACATACTCAGCCACACGGTTGTGGTCACAGAGAATCCCAGGGGCAATACCTGGAGCCACCTTTAGTCTTGCCAGACCACAAAACACAAAGTTTGGTGCGGAGCAGGCTGGGCCAGGCCTCTCTCCACGCCTTCTGCATGCAACCCAGCAGCAGCTGCCTGACACGGTCAAGGAAGGAGAAGGAGAGGGGGCGACGGAACCCATGGCATGGCCACCTGGCTCTTATTGCAACCAAACTCCCCTCCCCACTGCTCACATGGGGCCCCCTCACCTGGATTCTCTGACTGCTGCTGCCACATGACCCTTTGACTGACAGGGCCTAGGCAGCACCTCCCTCCCAACCATGGGGACTGTTAACACCTACTCCAGAAGAACCCTGTCCCTTGGGCTCAAGGCCTGTGTCCCCTGACCCTGCTTTTTAGGCCCCGACATCAATGGCAGGGACCCTCTTACATGTGGGCTATGACAAAGTACCCTTCCCATCAGCATCCCTGCTGAAAGTTTAGGGATTCTCTACTGTTTTTGTCTAAAAAGATGGAGCTGACACATTGTTGGCCCAACGTTGATGTAGGGGACAGAGCCCATGGCCACGGGAGGCTGCCTTTTGTGCTATGATAACGTCTCCCCGCCCCCCCCCACCCAAATTCATGTTGAAGCCTTAACCCCCAGGTACCTTAGAATGTTACTGTATTTGAAGGCAGGGCTTTAAGGAGGTGATTAAGCTAAACCAAAGCCAAAAGGTTCCATATGTCTGGTTCTTTTTTCTGAGACCAGGTCTCGCTCTGTCGCTCAGGCTGGAGTGCTGTGGCACAGTCACAGCTTACCGCAGCCCCCAGAGCCCAGGCTGAAGCAATCCTTGCACCTAATCCTCCCAAGCAGCTGGAACCACAGGCACCCCCCCACCATGCTCTACTAACTTAAAAAAAATCTTTTTGGGGGGAGGCATGGTGGCTCACCCCTGTAATCCCAGCACTTTGGGAGGCCGAGGCGGTCAGATCACCTGAGGTCAGGAGTTCGAGACCACCAGCTTGGCCAACATGGTAAAACCCCATCTCTACCAAAAATACAAAAATTAGCCAGGAGAGGCGGCAGGTGACTGTAATCCCAGCTACTGGGGAGGCAGAGGCAGGAGAATCACCTGAACCCAGGAGGTGGAGGTTGCAGTGAGCTGAGATCACGCCATTGCGCTCCAGCCTGAGCAACAAGAGCAAAACTGCGTCTCAAAAAAAAAGAGATGATTACAGTCACTTCTCACTGTCGCATGGGGGCTGGTTCCAGGAGGCGGAGGTTACCGTCCACGGATGATGCTCAAATGCACTCCAGCCTGGGTAACAAGAGCGAAACTCAAAAAAAAAAAAAAAAAAAAAAAGCCACATTGCCCAGGCTGGTCTTGAACTCCTGAGCTCAAATGATCCTTCCACCATGGCCTCCCTGAGTGCTGAGATTATAGGCATGAGCCACAGCACCCCACCAGGACTTGTAAAAGAAGAAGAGATCAGGACACAGACTCAAATGGAGGGAACATCATGTGAAGACACACAGAGAAGACAAGCCTGGGAGACGGGCCTGAGAAGAAACCAACCCTGCCAACCACTTGACCTTGGACTTCAGGCCTCCAGAGCTACAAGAAACTAAACTCCCCAGTCTGTGATGTTTACTTACAACAGCCCTAGCAAAGGCATGACACCAAAGATGATGACGCCAAAGGCCATGGAAACTGCCGCCTGACTTCCTGGCCACTCCCACCTGCTCCCTGGCTACTGGCAATGTTGGAGGCTGGCCATGCCCATGGCAGCACCTCAGTGCTCCACCGGGCTGAGGCTGTGCTCCCTCTGCCTGCCTGTGCCCACCAGCTCCGCCAGCAGTCAGAGAGAAGTGCCAGAGAGTGAGTGAGTGAATGAGTGTGCGTGTGTGTGTGTGTGTGTGTGTGTACGTGCACGGGGGTGGGGTCTGTGTCTGCGACAGCCCCACCTACCAAACCACTAGTTGCTGGGCTCACGGGTGTGGAACTGGGGTGGTGGTCCCCGATCACTCATTTTCGCACTTTCGGAGAAAATCACTGGCTGTGGGCAGGCTCCTCTTCAGCCCCACTGACATCCTGGAGGGGCTCTGTCAGGGACTGGGGGGTGTCCTGTGCCTTGTAAAATTCAGGGCAGCATCTCTGGCCTCCACCTACCATATGTGAGTAACACCCTCTCCCCTAAGCTGTGGTAGCCACAAATGTCTCCAGACGCTGCCACGTATGCCCTGGGAGCAGAATCACCTCCAGTGAAAACTGACGGGTTTGAGGAAGGATCTGACTGAGGCCAGCTCAGGCCTCATGGTATCTGTGGAATTTGGATTTGGAATCAGGGTCCCAGCACAGCGCCTGCCTACACCCCATCCTGCTGTCCTGTTTCCCTGGCCTGCTAGGAGGGAGCCAAGTCATGGTATAGACAGCAAGTTCAACAGGAAAGGCCTAGGGCCTGGGCTGCCCCCATGGTCTCAGGCAAAAGTCCTCCTGCCCTGAGCCTCCACTGGCTGGGGAGGGAGCTCTACCCTGTGCCCCACTTGAGTCCCTGGGGCTTAGACCACAAAGCCTCAACTGCCCACTGGGACCATCTAAAAAGCCTTCCTGGGCCACCATTTTGTCCTGGGAATCTCCTAAGTGTGTGCATACCTGTGAGAATGTGTGCATGAACTGTGAGCCTGCCCAGGTGCCTGTGTATATGTGTGCATATATATGCATTTATACACACGTGCATATATGTGGAGGGGACAGCCATCAAGATCTGGGCTGAGGCCGGGCGCGGTGGCTCAAGCCTGTAATCCCAGCACTTTGGGAGGCCGAGGCGGGTGAATCACGAGGTCAAGAGATCGAGACCATCCTGGTCAACATGGTGAAACCCTGTCTCTACTAAAAATACAAAAAAAAAAAAAGATCTGGGCTGAGAGCAGCTCCAGGAAAAGGACAAGCATGTCCCAGGCACACCTGTCCCCCAAGGGCAGGGTAGGCAGTGACCCCATGGGTGGGAGCTTCCAGGACATGGCTGTGCCTAAGCTAGGAACTTCCTTGCCTAACATGGTGCCCAGAACACCTAGGTGCTCAATTAAAATTCATTTACTAAATCAATGAGTGGATTTCCAAGACCTGGCTGGGTCCTAGTTTTGGCAGCGTTTTTCTGAGGGCTCCTTCAGGGTCTCCGCATTAGAGTATGCCGGTTGAGCCTGCCTCAGTGCCCTGAAATGCTACCGAAGTGCAGCAAGTCTGCTGCCCACTGTGCACGTACACATAGGGTGGGGTGGCCTATGACACCCCCCCTCTGCCCATCATGAATGGTGGAGTTGGCAAAAGCAGCCCCCCCGCTGCCTGTACAGGTGTCTCCCACTGTGTGCAGAAGCTGCTCCCTGCCCAGCAAGAGGGGAAGAGGTGAAGTGAATGGCAGGCCACTCAGGCAGTGCCACCCACCCACCCAGCCTGCCAGCCCTGCTCGTGTTCTGAGGACAATCTTGCTACTTTGAGTACCAGGGGGCCTTCAAGGCCCAGGAAGGCTGCCAGGGCAGCAGGGCCCATGACGGCCCCACCCAGTGTGAGATACTGGTGCCTGCGTGGGTGGGGGCACTGTGTCTCCTTCTGTCCACATGGTTTGGAGAGCCAGGAGGAAAAACAGCGCAGGCAGGAAGGCACACGGTCCAGCTCTCCCTCCCTGTTCTGAAGGGTGGGGCCACTCAGGGAACATCTGGCCCAGGGCATGGAGTAGGTGGGGTGGAGACAAGATACAGGATGATGGCACTTCTCTTCAGACTAAGAATCTTCTAGAGTCTTCTAGAGTCTAGTGCTGGTGGCATCAGACAGGAATGGCTCAGAAACCAGCCAAGTCCATGGAGAGAAAACGAGAGAGCAAAGGGCAGGGCCAGGCCTGGGGCTATTTATAACTCAGGGCTGTGCACGTGCCAGTTATGGGAAAGGACGTGAATGCAGGGAGGGCCGTGCAGCCAGGCAAGGAGGCCAGGGCGGGGAGGAAGCCGGAGGTAAAGGGAAGTTGGAAAAAGAAGTCAGTGACATGGAAGGAAGTCCCTCCTACCACAACCCTCTCCAGGCGGGTGCAAACACAAAACCTGAGGCTAAATAAAAGCCAACAAAGAACCCACAAAACCAACTGGGCTTGTGACAACCAAGCAGGAAAAGCCAACACAGAACAAGGTGAACAAAACTTGTCAGCTGGCTGCCAGGCCCACATAAGGGGGGGAGCTGGAACTGAGTTTCCGGACAGGGCAGAGAGCAAGGAGGCCCCGTCTAACCCTCCTCCCAGTCCCCCTAATCTGGGGGAGCCCAGTGATGATCAGGGTGCAGAACCCTGACTGAGAGAGGCAGGCTGCTCCAGGCTGGGAGTGTGCAGCCAGCACAGCTGCTGGAGAAAGGACACTCTTCTGCTCTGGGTAAGGGCAGGTTTTCATTAGCAACAGGCTGGACACTGCCCTGCTGGCCAGCCCAGCGAGCACCCGAAAAACCTGGTCCTCATGGCCCAGAGAGGACGAGGGGCTGACCTCTGTGCAGGGTCCTGGGGCTGCAGGTTGTCGCAATAGGCCAGCCTATGTGAATCCTTCCCACAGCACCCCGGGCAAGGGGGTGCCTGGCCTCTGTCCAACCTCTGCCTATACTATGAATGAGTATTCACAGAGAAGACCCGTGCCACAGGAGTCTACTGAGACCCCGAACTGCCAAAGAGTTCCCTGAGGGTTTCCTGATGGCCCCATGGCCCAGAAGACTCAAGATCAGCATCTGGGACCAAATGTGGGGTGGGTGGGGACATGCAGGAGGAGAGGGATGAGCAGGCTGATGCCCATGCCCTACCAGCAGGTCAGGATCAGGGTGCCTCTGGCCTCAAGATCACCATGCTCCCAACTGGGTGCCATGGCTCACGCCTGTAATCTCAATACTTTGGGAGGCTGAGGCAGGTGGATCACCTGAGGTCGGGAGTTCGAGACCAGCCTGACCAACATGGAGAAACCCCATCTCTCCTAAAAATACAAAACTAGCCGGGTGTGGTGGTGCATGCCTGTAATCCCAGCTACTCAGTAGGCTGAGGCAGGAGAATCACTTGAATCCAGGAGGCAGAGGTTGCGGTGAGCCGAAATCACGCCATTGCACTCCAACCTGGGGAGCAAGAGCAGAACTCCGTCTCAAAAAAAAAAAAAAAAAAAAAAGAGCACCATTCTCCCTGGGGGAAGTGGGGTGTCCTAGGAAGCGACAGCCATGTCTTCAAACCAAAGATCAAAAATGAAGGATGACATGTGTATGGCTTGTTGCACGGCTGGCAGGGAAACCAGGAAGTCAAGGCTATGCTTGTCTCCACAGCAGTGAAGGGCACCTGTCCTGGGGCCCCAACCACTGGGAGGAGCACCCGAAGGTTTCTGGAAAGGAGGTACACACAGTTCTCCTCCAATCCAATCCCCTCCTCTTCAGACCGGCTCTGGGCCAGGGGGTGTGCTTGGGACTGGAAACTCTGACCTGGCAGGCACAGACGAGCAACCTCCTGCAGGACGTGCACTGCAAAAAACGCCTACAACTGCTGTGAGCGCAGAAGCAGGGAGCAGGGAGCAGGAGCCGGGGGACCAGGATGCATCGTGGCTTCACAGAAGAGGAGCCCCACACTGAAAGGTGAAGGTTATACTCCAAGTCAGAGCTGGTTGTGGGTGGGAGGCCCCCACCCCCAGACAGGAACCAGGGGCACCAAGTGGGCAGATCAGCTTCCTTTCAGGGCCAGGTGGTGTACCAAGGACTGGCTGGGTAAAGACAGCCCTCAAGGATGATGGAAAGAAATAGCCTTTCTCAAGTTCAGCACTTAATCTACCTGAACTTGGTGCTTCTCTGTACCAAACCATGCTCACGAAGCAGCAAGAGAGGGGATGCACCAAGAAAGACAAGACAGCTGAGGGAGGGAAAGTGTGTCCACTGAAGAATCAGGAAGGCTTCAAACTGTGGAGCTGTGCGGCCCAAGCAAGTTACTTCACCTCTTTGAACCTCGGCCTCCTGGTCAGTAAAAAGCTGACACTTGATGTGGGGTAGGAAAAGCTGCCTAAGTCAGCAGCCTGTGTGTGCTGCATGGAGCAGGTACATGTTACCCACTGGCTTCCTTTCCCATCCTCTCGGTTCAGAACGAGAAGCCTGCCCAGCACCAAGGCCTTCAGAAATCACAGAAGCATATTCATAAGCTGCAGTCCCTGGCCTGCAGCTAATGCATCAGCCCCAGAGAAAAGCAGCTCAGTGAGAAGATACACTTCTGGAGCTTCCTTACAGAAATGGGGTGAAGCCCATTCCTCTCTTGCTCTTTTTATTTTATTATTATTTTTTTTCTTTTCATTCTTCTTCTTATTATTATTATTTTGAAAGATCGGGTCTTGCTTTGTTGCCCAGGCTGGAGTGCAGCGGGAAGATCACAGCTCACCCCAGTCTCAAACTCCTGGACTCAAGCAACCTTCCCACCTCAGCTTCCTGAATAGCTTGGATTACAGGTGCGAGCCACTGTGCCAGGCTATGCTGTTATCGGGGTGTACACCATCTAGAAATAAGCTAAGCAGACTGGGAAAGGTATCTGTCATCAGGGACCAAAAAGACAAAAAGACACCGGGCGCGGTGGCTCACGCCAGTAATCCCAGCACTTTGGGAGGCCAAGGCAGGTGGATCATGAGGCCAAGAGATCGAGACCATCCTGGTCAACATGGTGAAACCCTGTCTCTACTAAAAATACAAAAAAAAAAAAAGATCTGGGCTGAGAGCAGCTCC